GACAACGGAATCTTCAACCGAGTCGCCAACAACAGAATCTTCAACCGAGTCGCCAACGACAACGGAATCTTCAACCGAGTCGCCAACGACAGAATCTTCAACCGAGTCGCCAACGACAACGGAATCTTCAACCGAGTCGCCAACGACAGAATCTTCAACCGAGTCGCCAACGACAACAACAACAACCAACAACAACAACACCAACAACACAACAACAACAACAACCACAACAACAACAACAACAACAACAACAACAACAACACAACAACAACAACAACCACAACAACAGAACAACCACAACAACACCAACAACCACACAACATCAACAACCACAACAACAACGAACGCCCTTCCCTCAAATCCTCGTGAGTTTCTCAAGCAATCTGTCTGCTGCATGTCTAATACCTCCTACATATTATGTCTGTTTACCTTCTAGAATCGCTTTTACTATGCGCTTGCTGCAGAGGCGCATAGCACTTTGAAACAATAACGATCCTACTTACTATAAAGCGCTTCGTCTGTCGTCTCTGTCTGTCGTCTGTCGTCTGTCGTTCTGTATGTCTGTCACGAAATTCCCTAGCTCCTCGGGATCCGCCTGGAGGGACCGGGTCAAGTGTGGGATGGGTGGGCAAGGTCTCACGAAGTACAAAACACACATCAGCTAAGCGCCCACAGTGGGCGTGGCGTGCATCGAAATGAGTGGTACTGACGACCAGGATTTCAGTAATAAAACAGCCTCGAAACTGGGGGACAAAGTGGGCAAAGGTGTTCATTGGCATGAAAAAATTCATAACTCGTTTGGGAGAAAGCCTACAGAGCAGAAAACAATTGTGTAGGGGAGCAATGTCTAAGGTGTTTCCCAGCATACATGACGTGGGCGGAGGCCCGCCCAATGGGCGGAGCGCGCTCTGAAGTGTACAGCATTTTCTACAAGTCCTCATAATTCGGGCCGGGGAAGTCTTAGTGAGCCGGAAAAAGGTGGATAGAGGTGGGTGGAGGAGTGGTCATCGGTGGGCGGGGCTTGACCAAAGTGGGCGGAGTTTGCGACGAAAATTCATAACTCGGCTCCAAGAAGTCCCGGAGGCCGGGAAAAAGGTGGATAGAGGTGGGTGGAGGATTAGAGGTCAACGGTGGGCGGCGAATGATCAGCATAGGCAGGGTTCGTCGCCAGACCTATATAGCGGGTTTACGAAGCTCTGAGGACCGGGAAAAAGGTGGGTAGAGGTCGGCGAGGGGGAGGAATCCAATTTTTATTGGTGGGCTGGGCATGACCGAGTTAGGCGAAGGTTTGTTGCAAGACCTATGAAGCGGTTCCACTAAGCTTTAGGAACTGAGAAAAAGGTGGATAGAGTCCGGTTAAAGGAAGGAAATCCATTTTTATTGGAGGGTGGGGCACGCACCAAAGTGGGCGGAATTAGTTGTCTGACTTGTAACTTGTTTCTAGGAAGCTCCAGAGATTGGGGGAAAATGGTTAGAGGCTGGCGAAGTCAATTTTTATTGGTGGGTGGAGTATGCACTAAAGTGGGCGCGGTTTGCCGCCAAGCATATAAATCGCTCAGGGACAGTTCAGAGACCGGGGAAAACGTGGGAGAGATTGGCAAGGAAGAAAAAGATGGTGAGACATGCACCGAAATAGGCGGAGTTCAGACGAGATTCATAAATCGGTCCTGAGATAGTCCGGATACCGGGAAACAGCGAATAACGGTTGCGAAGAATGAGAGGTCGGGTGGTGGAGCGAATAGAACCTAGCTCAGGAAGTCAAATATTCGTAGTGTATCGGGCCAAATTGAGAATATACGCCTCACTGTCCCATATCACCGCAGAGGTGTTGCGCGCGTGCTACGCCAGCTGGTGCATGTATAAGCAAATACTAACCTAAAGAGATCAGTCGATGTGAACGAGTAGCGCAGGTTCATTTCGGCAACCGAAATTGCCTACTTCACAGCAACCGAATTACCGAGAATGGGTCAGTGAAATCTTTGGGATCTTTGTGGTTCATCTATAATAGAAGGGAAACTAACTTTGGCGGTCACTATACTATTCGAATTTTATTCGATCCGTCGGCATCAATGGGAAGGCAGTGACGTACGATAGACTTCAAGAAGGGTTCATAGGAAAGTGATGGTGTTCATTGATACGCGTAGCGAAAAACGCCAAGAAATCCTTCAAAACGAAACACACTTCCTAGCCGTTAGGTTAGTTCCGCTCATGAACAGGGAACGGCTCAGAAAGCGGACGTATGAAGAAGTTCAGCACAACGCGTTTGGTGACAGCATGCCAATCCGCGCTACAGTCGAGATTGCTTTGGTTGTGTCACTGTTGGCAACGCAGCTCGTCCAAATCACCAACTAACCAGTGGGCGGACCGCTTGGGGGCGGAGCGCCTTCGAAGTCCTGCTCAGCAACCAGGGCTAACTTTTTTGCTTCGTGTGAAAGCGTACACCTTGTTCCCTCGCAGCCAAGTAACTGACTCATGTGGTGTGTATGCTTTCCGCAATGCGCTCCCATTTATCGTAATCGCTGCCTTTAACGTTTTAAATGTCTACGTTTTAACTCTTAGTTGGCTTCTCTTCGTACCTCGAGAGAGATGATACTTCACATAGGGCGTATTGTTAGAACAAAGTCACTTGTTACTCGTTACGTAATTATTTCGTCTCCCTCTATTTCATAATCAGAATGCAGAATCTGACTGCATGGTTTACGGACTACGTGATTTTTCCTCAATAGTCCTGCCGCGATTTCTAGAGCACGAACTATTAGGGAACGGGTGAATGATGATAGTACTAAGCCTTGGAAAGAAGAGGGACACGCGAGAGAGCGCAGAGAAATGAAAGGGCTTTGACATTGTGTAGGCCCGGGTGTGGGTACTTAGGACAGAACGCGACTTTTTCGCTCTTCGCAACGCGACATCGCGCGGCAGGCTGGCGCACCCGTAGCGAAAACAACTACGGTATATAAGAACGCGCGATTGGAGCAGCTTTTTTGCATGCGTGAATTTGTAAGTTTCTGATTCCTTACTTGCCCGCGCTCACACCCATTGTATTGATAAATGCGGTGAATCACTAATTCTGTCTCATTATTGAAAACGTTTTGTGACTTACACGATTCCGGGCGATGCCACTAAAATGGTGTTTTACGAATTATCGGTGAACGAGGGTTTAATAGGGTCGCTTGTGCTTGCATTTTGTGGGTTCATATTGTTGTATAGACATCTGCATAAGGGTATAACATCTTTTACGGAACGCTTCTGTCCTCATTACGGATATGATACTCATTTTGGACGCTGGCGCCATTTGGGGCCAGGTGGCGCCACAACTGATTCCCACTAAATTCGTTGTAAACTTCTGTATAGGGGTTATTCGGGGTCCTGATTTGTTCTTAGCGCTATTCGGCGCCTGCTCCTGCTCGTCTGCGCCCTCGCACTAATTAGATCGCAAGTAGGACTAAGCCTTTGAGTAGTGTAGGGCTCCAAAGTGGGTAGGCCATTCCCCTGTGGTGTGACACACTCCAACTTTTGCCACACGGTGCGTGGTTTACCCACTCCGGAGTTTCACTCCCCTCCCCTAAGCTTAGTCGTAGGCGCTGTAGGTGAGAAAGCTTAGAAAGCAGAAAGTATGCGTTAAACAGCACGAATGTGAAAAATGAGTGTCATATTCATGATCAGGGCCCCAAATAACCCCTATGCAGAAGTTTACAGTCGTCTCATCAAACGTCCATCAACCATTCCTCTTCCAGGTTCTCCAGAAGCTCTACCATCCATCTCTGCAAAAATAACCTACCTCCCTCTTCACTGCTAGTTAGCGGTCCACTTCTGGTTACCATTTCCTCGTTCATTATCAAATCCATGGCTATTAAGCTTCAAACTCCTTGTCGCAATCAAAGCCGACACAAATATCGCGCTCCAATCGCGCGTTCTTATATACCGTAGTTGTTTTCGCTACGGGTGCGCCAGCCTGCCGCGCGATGTCGCGTTGCGAAGAGCG